TCATTCGCACCATTTAGGAGGAGTGCATGCTGCTCAATGAATCATTTTACAGTTTCGAGGCACATTGCCGTTATGAGATACGAATGCATGTGGGCGAACACAGCACCCTTTATTAGCTCTAATTTGATCGGCTTTGCAGCGATGTTTCAACAGCCACGGTCACTCAGGACATGTTTGGCTTCCTGACTGTCGTCGGTGTGCTCGGCCATGTGCTGGTCAGTGGTTGGACCGAGCAGGATGAGGCTCGACGAATTCAACAAGTTCATTTATCTTTTTTTTGTTCCGTTGCCCAGCGGTTTGATTAAACATTTGATTTTATCTTAACAGCCAATCATGGTTCACCTTTGAAAAATTGATTTGTTCTTTTTTTGTCTTGAGAATCTGTTGAGTGATCCCTGTACAAAGGAAAACAACTCGTTTGGCCTCTGAAGAGGTACACCTCGTTCACAGTTAGTGCTAATTGAATGTATGCGGCTGAGGAAGAAGGCCTGGAACGGTTCTGTTTAGCGTTTGGATACGTCACAATTAAACGCCAGCGCCACTGTAAAGCCTCGGATCTTCACTCTGATTGTCCAGATGATATTGTTCACTCATATTCCCCTTGTTTTTCAATACCATTTAAAGACATTTGTCGGACGGTGAAACTGCTTCAGCCAGTGTTTTTCACAACTACAGTAGGCAGACAGCAAATTTGCCACCAGCGATTCTCGGCTGTTTGTATTTCGAAATGCTTCCCTCTCTGCGACAGACCGAGGAGATCGGCTTTATCATAAATTGCGCCCTTAGTGTTACCGAGGTAAACCGTACACCGGAAGCGGATATGCCAGGATTTCCTCTCTGAGCTTTACTCGCTAGCTTCGCTGCACACTTGCTCATCACATTTTCGAATAACCAGCTCGAGCTGTAATGTTTCCATTTACTGCCTAGCATCACTGATATGAATGCTAAGTCTGGAAGTGTTTCGGCATATCTGAGCTTTTCTCTGATTTTAGTGTCTTTTGCAAAGCTTCTAGATTTCTTAAAATAACGGCTTCGACTACCAATAACTAGCAAATATGCTTTATACTTTGAATTCCTCGGACGTACCTGTACATTGTCACGTTTCCCACCTGAATCTTGTCCCTCTTTTGCTTTTAGCAATTATCCTTAAAATCGAAAGACGGTTATTCGTCAAATCTGGAAACGATTATTCTCAACTGATTTCGGGAGATAACTTTTAGGTAGTAGAACTGAAGTAGAGTAGTTTTTGTTTCTGTCCATAAACCAGTTTTATTATAGATAATGGAGGCCGAGATGCAAGAATACGAAATGGAACAGCAGTCGCAATCCGGCGGTGGTGCGCCCAATGAGCGTTACCAACATTATCCTGCTGCCGGACCATATCGATACAAAGAAACAGCCTCAGTACCTCAACCAAGAGCAATCACTTATCACACTGAGGCTACGACTACAGCAAATTGTAAAGTTTTTTCAGTCCCATCCAACTTTTACCAAAAGAAAAGATCGTATTCGTGCATGTTCGAGCGAATTTAGACGAATTTGAGCAAAATTTTTCACCTATCTGAATACGACAGAAAATTGTTTCTTCATGCCTCATTTCGAGCACAGTTTTTCAGTTTTAATATTTAAAACCACAGATGATTGCTTCAACGTTTATTCTCCTGTTGAAAATTTTTTTGAATTTTTCTAATCCTTCTTTCTGTCATTCGTCTAGAATTTCCTCATTACACGGCAAATAAATTTATTTCTGTGGTATTTTCCCGATAAGGCGATTTTTGCCCAATCGTCACGTCGGAGAACGTTTTGAATTCTCGAAGCCACCACACCCTTTGTTACTTCTTTTCAACCCGCCATTTTTGTGTGTTGCTGTTCTTTTTGAACAGAATTTGAAGTACAAAAATCAAATTGTGAAGGAAAAAACGAACGAATCCAATAATTTCGGCATTGCTAAATGATGCGTTTGTGAATGGCATTTGAATTGCGTGAAGGACCTCTGTCGAAGCTGAACTGGCCCCATCTCTCTTTGCCTAGTCATCCGTCTTTTTGAGTTAAAAACACATTTTCTGCAGTCTCCGTAAATTAAGATTTGCGAATTTTGATGTTATTTGGGTTGCAAAAACTAAGAATTATTGGCAGGTGTAAGTTTTCTAGCACACAGTGCAAAGAGAGGGAGGCAGTCTGAAGAGTTTTGTTCTCCGGAACTGAAAACTATCATTGTTGGTCGAAAACTCCACGAAACGAAACAGGAGGAACTCAGAGACTCTTTCTCGCCTCATTTTTCGACTAGGGCAAAATTGCTTATTATTTTCTGGAGCAGAAAAAAGAGCGGGAGGCTAATAAACTCATCTACAATTGCCGTTCAAAAAAAAAAAAGAATAACATATATCAGGCCTCCAAACCTGTTATTTTTGATTAAACGAATTTGACACGGTGATAAACAACCCACTTCATTAGACGACAGCTGTACATGACTCTCCATTTTTAGTCCAGGTGTTTTCCACCTTTTTTGACTTGCCCAGTCATAAGAGCAGAATTTTTTCAGTAGCTCAAATATATTTGCTGCCTCTGATAGCCCAGAAGCTGAATTTTATTCGAAACAGAAATTTAGCAGAATAATTAAAACATATCTTTCACCACTCGGAGTTTCGGCTGCTAAAACTCAGTTTGCTCGTGGGTTTAAGCTTGCGTTTTTCATACAGTTTCTTGCGTTGTTTGATTACAAGATGCTTAGAACCTTAAGCTGCTTATTATTTTCCACATTTTCAAAAAATTGTGCTGGACAGATGCGGGTAATTGGTGCTACCACTGTGCTAGTCCGATGAATGTGGTTAGTGCCAGTATGCGGCGAGCGATCGAAAAATTTTTGCACCTCCGGCGTACAGCCTATCCATCGCACGCGAAGAATGCCCGATGCTCGGAACCGCGTAATTTGACCGACTTATCAATTGAACAGTGCCGGCACCCACATTGCCAGACACTGGTTTTGACGGATCATGACACAGGTTGGAACGAGACTATTTTTTTTCCACATTATCAGCTTTTTTTTGCTGAGCGGATTAAAGCGTAGAATAAAAATAGGTAGATTAAAAGTAGACTGAAAATTTTTCTGTTTGTCAATCGTTTATGAGTCCTGTCATAATCCTGGTGAAAAATACGCAAATACGAGAAAGCAAAAGAGGTCGAAAGTAGTTTTTGGAGGTCTTACCTGAATTATGATTTATTCATCCTCGAACTGGTCTTCGAAACGAAAACTATTTGAAATTTAGCCAGACTTTTTTTGCAATTTATTGAAAACATTCTTTTTGCCGGAAGCAAACACTTATTGCTTTTTTTCTGCTCACTGATTTCATAGAGTTCTGAGAAAATAAGCCTCAAATAAAAGCATAATTAATTTTTTCAAGGTTCGGCGTTTACGATGCGCGGCTGTGCTGAAACATTTGGTGCAATAAACGAAGAATTATTAGATGCACGTGGAGATAATAAGTGCAAGAGGTTTGGAACATTGATTTTTATGTAGACTTAATAAAATAGGGCGACTTTTTCGAGTTGTTTGATCTCAAAGACCTTCTAATCGAAACAGTGAAAAAAATCAATGGCCGCAACAGTGAAAAAATCAATTTTCTGTCGGCTTATTCTGATGCAGACGTGTATTCCCCGAAAAACTTAAAGGGAGGTAGTGCAGGGACAGTTTTATCAGATTTTTTCCTTGATCAATTTGACTGGAACTTACTTTTCTCATTTTGATCAGCTGCCTTTTGCCTCATGTTATTGACACAACTTTTTCATTACTGTTATTCTCAAACTGCATTGTGTGGCCCGTATTCTCTACATATGTGGAATTTTTCTAGAATTTCTCAGATTTTAGTTTTGTTTACAGGTTGCACGATCAAATCGATATCCAAGAATGCATCTGCAAGTATCGGCGGTATTGTTATCCAGGTCCCGAACGTGCACTTTATGATGCACAAGCATCAGCAGTTGCCTTATCATCGTCAAACGTATTGTCACTACTGAGCGTTACTTTTTTTCTTATTTTAAGGCTTGCTTTTTTTGCAGTTATATTCGATAGCTAACATAGTTTTGTCTGTAGATATATTCATATCACAATAATTCACTTATTTTTATTTAGTTGTTAAAATCCTGGCAAATGGAATTCATGACCTTTCCGAAATCTGGAACATAATTTTGGTCAGGCTAAATTTAAATTGTTCAAAACATCATTTTCGGGCCTTTGATGAAAAATTAAAAATAGTTCATGAACGAATTTGTCCAGTGTCAGAATACATTCAATACAATGCATTCGGGCTGTATATATTTGTATGGCATGATGAATTTTAAAGTTGCGCTCTCTGTTTGTTTATTTTTGGATTTTTCTTTTCATTTACATATATTGTACTTATTAACCCTGGTGATTTGCGAAAATACGGTTGATTACGACTTTTAAAGTCGATATTCTGATACGCTTACTGTTTTTTTTTTCTCACATCCTTCGATGCTTTTACTCTTCGTCTGTCAAAGTACAAGCCAAATTCGACTTGGGTATTTTATAAAATGCAGTTATTACACAGATCGGAAGTACTGTACGCTACAGTATGCACCCCCCGATACGTGTAGTATCTGCACTCTGTGCATGAGCAGGAAGGATGTTTCATATATTGTGTAAAGTTCGTGAATATGCGGCATGAATGCACGAAAACATCTGTGTAATATACGTATACGGAATTTTCTGTGGAATGCGGCCAATGTCCACAGCGAACAAAGTTTCGTCTGCTTTTCTGTC